CACAACCACACAACAACACAACAACCACACAACAACCATACAACAACACAACCACATCAACTATATGTATATATATATAAGAAAGTTAAAGAGACTAGAATTGACAAAGTAATCAGTAATACACACATCTGTATCCAGCTGCTGGAACATGTAGATATCCCTGGTGTGACCTTAACAAAGTTAACTTTAACCTAAACTTTTACCGTAGCTTAACTTATTTTAAACTTAACTTAAACCTTAACTTAATAAAGTATTACAGGTTATTGAAATCCTGCACACGACACTGAAGCCGATGTCGCACAAACTCCTGAGAACAGTAACACTGCAGATGTTGTTCAGATCAGTTTGTCTGTGATTCCTGTAGGGATGGAGGTTTATACAGTCTGATGAACACTGGAGGAGAACTCGCTAGTGCACAACACCTGTTCAACACGTCAGTACCAAACACAGCAACACAGTGTGACATCCAGATGTTTGTGTTTTCAGCCCGTTTGGAAGGTTTAAAGTGAACAGCGAAGAAGAAGAAGAAGACGCCCTCACCCTGTCCTCGGCCATGTGGTTCTCATGGGGAGTACTGCTGAACTCTGGGATCGGAGAAGGTATTGATGCGATATTACTGATTGTCGATATGCAGCCTGTAGACCGGTTTAACCCGCCTGCTGTGTCTTCAGGAGCTCCGCGGAGCTTCTCGGCCAGGATTCTGGGGATGGTGTGGGCAGGATTCGCCATGATCATCGTAGCTTCATATACTGCCAACCTGGCAGCCTTCCTGGTGCTGGACCGGCCTGAGGAGCGCATCACTGGCATCAATGACCCCAGGGTGAGCTGACACTGCAGCTGCAGGAAACAGGTGTTTACAGGTCTAGTTGACTAGTTGGGAGTTCCAGATACTTACATCCTAGTCTTGACTCCTTAAGGATGTAAGTATGTGGAACTCCCAACTAGTCAGTCAGACCTGATGAAGCCTCTTGGATGAGAGGTGGAACGTCTTCAAGGAACTCAAGCAGGTCCAGTTGCTACCATTAATCTACCAGAAGAACCGCGACCTGGAGGACTGAGAATCTCCACAGTGTGTTCAGTGTTAACCTGTTCCTCTGTGCTGCTGTTTGCAGCTGCGTAACCCATCAGATAAGTTCATCTACGCCACAGTGAAGCAGAGCTCGGTGGATATTTACTTCAGACGGCAGGTGGAGCTGAGCACCATGTACCGGCACATGGAGAAACACAACTACGAGAGCGCCGCTGAGGCCATCCAGGCTGTCCGAGACAAGTAGGGTCCTCCGACACTCACAGTCTGAACACTGCTGGAATCCAGCTGATAGTAACGTTCTGACCTCCTCCTGCAGCAAGCTTCACGCCTTCATCTGGGACAGCGCTGTGTTGGAGTTCGAGGCGTCGCAGAAGTGCGATCTGGTGACGACGGGAGAGCTGTTCTTTCGCTCCGGGTTCGGGATCGGAATGAGGAAAGACAGTCCTTGGAAACAGAACGTTTCTCTGGCTATTCTCAGGTAGGAAACCAACCAAAGGTGATCTCCATGTAATGAAGAACCAACCAGAACCTCCTCAGAACATCTGGTTCTGTATCTGCAGAACCTCTATCTACTGACCAGAGTTCTACCTTCAGACTGTGAACGTTCCAGAGGTCCAGGTCCTTCAAGTCCACAGAGGAGGGTCCAGATTGATCACTTTAATGGACTTTTTCCATCATTTCTGAGTCTCAGAACTTCATCAGTACAGCAGATAGACACATGACATTTAGGAGGAAGAACACATCTGGGTTCTGGTAGAACCTGACACCAGATCAGTTCTACATCCATCCAGGTGTCTCAGTCTGAACACTAAAGACTGTTTTCTCAACTCTTGGGTAGGAACAACTTCGCACTGAGCGCATGCAAACATCTGGTTGTCTCTCCACAGCTCTCATGAGAATGGCTTCATGGAGGACCTGGATAAGACGTGGGTTCGATACCAGGAGTGTGACTCGAGGAGCAACGCACCGGCAACCCTCACCTTCGAGAACATGGCAGGTAGGATCAGACGGTTCTCTGCTGCTGGTAGAACCCGACAGACGGTCAGACTCCGCCCCTCCTCACCTGTCCTCACCTGCCCTCCTCCTCAGGTGTGTTCATGCTGGTCGCCGGTGGAATCGTCGCTGGAATCTTCCTCATCTTCATCGAGATCGCCTACAAACGGCACAAAGACGCTCGCAGGAAACAGATGCAGCTCGCCTTCGCCGCTGTCAACGTGTGGAGGAAGAACCTGCAGGTATGGACTCACCTGAGATCTGCTGCTTCTGTCCAGTGTTTAACCTGCTCAGATCCTCTTCTGTTCTGCTTCTTTACTCTGTTTGGTTTTATATTCTTGGACCAAGCGTCTGAGGCTTTACTGTACTTGATAACGAACCATCTTCAGTTTTCAGGGATCTTTATCACCACCAACTACGTGTTTGTATTGAAGCAGCTGAAAGCTCTAAAGGCTCAGGCTAGTTTATGGAGTTTCATCAGTGAAGGGAGGAGAACTTGGTTATTTTAACAATATTTTTGATTTTCTAAAAAGTAAAGGAAACGGAGGCAAGAGACCAAAAAACTGAAATAAGACAAAGGATTATTCAAACACAGATCGATGTGTTGATGTGTGGAGTCTGTTATTGCTGCTGCATGAAATCTAATCGATCAGTAGGGCCGATCGTCCAGGTGGACTGGTGGT